TACTGCTACTAAAACTACTACTACTACTACTACTACTACTACTACTACTACTACTACTATTACCGTACTACTTCTACCTCTACTTCTACCCCCACATGTTGATGAGTAGAACTCTTTGCCCAACTTCGCGGTGGCTTGGCTTGATCCAGGTGCCGGACCAGGGGACAAGGCGAGGTGACGGCATCTCGTCAGATCTTTAAAGTATTGGTTCTCGGGTTTAGGCATAGGGTTTAGAGTATAGTGCAAGGTTTAGGGTCTGGGCTGTGTGGTTAGAATTTATCCTGAACCCTGAAACCATAAACCCCTTTGCTGGGAGTTTGGATTTCAGGACTCTGTGGAGTTTAGAATAGGAGGGGGCAAGGAGTTTTGCAGGGTTTCCAACGGGCTCTGCGCAAGATGCCAGACTGTTGAACAGATTATAAATAATTACCACCGCTGTTCGTTCGTGCTCCTTAGCAAAACCATACTATAAACTACATCAAACTTTCGTTACTTTTGGCTGTTAGTTTCGAGACCCATGCGTCGTTTGCCTGTCACGGGTTCTCTGGTCCTAGAATATGGCTTAGGGCCTAGGGTGTTGGGCTTAAGGTTTAGGGTTTAAGGTTTAGGGTTTGGGGTCCTGCAGCTACAGTCACAGGAATTGAGTAAACGACTAGCTCCCGAGTGGAAAGTTGCTTGGGTTTCAAAGCTTGAAGCTGGGTCTGTTTGCACGAACACGACGAGCCTAGCCTCCGCATGCACACGTTTCACACAAGCATGCTGAATGGTAAAGGAGCCCGAATAACTGAGGTTTCCTGAACAGCCTTCAGATGCAAATGGCTACATCAAACTGATCATCCTGATCAACCTAGTCATACCCAACAAGACTTGCTGATGCCCAGCCCGTCAGTAACCAAAGAGACACTGCCAAGGCTTCTAGGTTCTACTTGTCACGTACAAGGCTAGAGGTTTGAAGAACGCGACGTCGTAGACAAAGAGATGCTCAGTGATGTCTTGAGCCTCCCGTGTCTCATGGACATCTTCTGAGAAGACTCCTTGGTTTGGGTCTGGTGGGGCAACCCTAAACCCTAAACGAATTCAGCCAGTGACATGCGCTACGAAACTGTCTTAAGATCACTCGGCCCTTTTACTTTGCCCTGAAAGCTACTTATGGTTTAGGGTTTAGGCAATCTAGCCTTCAGTTCAGTCTTCGTGGCGTGCGTCCGAAGCCCTGAATCGTGCAGATGAGGCCTACGATGCTGTCCTTGCCTTCGACTCGCTGGCACAATTCCTGGCAACGGGAGAAATCAAGCTGCTTCAGTTTGCCGGCTCCAAGTGGCCCGGCTAAAGAAGTTTAGGGTCTCGAATTCAGAGTCTTATTATAGGGCTTTTCGGGTAGATTTAGGGGCTAGGCTTTCTAGGTTCAAGTTGTAGAGATTCGGAAGTCAGGGTTTGCACCCTAGAGGTGTCTTGCCAGGTTTGAAGCAATGCAGGAGCAGCGGGTCCGCATCGTTGCCGTGGTGGGCCTATTCGACAAGGGCAAGACCTGGCTGACGAATAAACTCTTCGGGAAGAACCTCCCAAGTGGAAAGCTGTTCACGACCAGGGGGCTGAGCTTCCTGTGGGCTCCTTGCTTTGGGTTGGCCGGTTTGTGGTTTACGGCCCCATGGTTTGGGGCTTGAGGTTGTTTCGCGTTTGGTACGTTGGCCAGCGCATAATATGCACATGGACGCAAGTCCAAAGACTATCCGCGGAACCCCCATACCCTGAAACCCAAAGCCTCACCACCCGCAACACGAAAACCCCGAACACTGAAACCCTAAACCCTTCTAAACCCTACACCATCAAGTGCTAAACACAAAGCTTAATTAAGCTATATGTAACCGGAACCCTAAAAGCCCACCTACATTCTGTTGAAAAAGAGCTGAAAAAACAAGCAACAAAGTCTGCAGAGACCTAGGTTCCGGAGCGCCGGATGCTTGTGCTGGACAGCCCTGGGGTACAAGGGACCGTGTCTTACAAGTCCCGAGACTGGGCTCCTGTTAATAATATAGGGGCCTTAACTTGACAATTAGAATGGGGTTTGGGGTATATCACACTATGATTATAATAAGGAACCCCCCAAACCCTATTCTAATTATTAAGGCCTCTACATTAGGTACAAGAATACAAACAATAATGATAGTCATAATCAATAGTAAGTAATAACGGCGGTTATTTTGTTTATTATGATTATTATTATTATCCTTATTGTATCAATAGATAGTAGTACTAGTATCTTCGATCAAAGAGAGGACTTTCTATCGGTTTAAAGTTGCTTTCCAGAGTGGTGTTCTGAGGGTTAGTTTATTTTGTATACCTTATGTTCTCTCCAATTGTTTGACGCACATGGTATTCTGTAAGTTCCTTTGCAAGAACCGAGGAGATGTCGATGCAATTCTCGACGCGCGGACAACCGAGTCGATGATGTTTGACATGATCTCCAGGATTTCCCACCATCTAATCTTGGTTGTGAACGACAACACCTGGCTAGAGCAGGAATACGCAGCCATGCTTTTGCGGGTCTTCGGGGAGGGGCTCATCGTGGTGCACAACATGCGGATGACTTCGTGTGCCCAAGAGGCCCAAGAGCTTTTCGCCCGCCAGATCACGCAATGCTATGAAGGTGGGGCGTCCCATATGGGGAACCTGCTTTTCACTGCTGAGTTGGGGGAGTCGGCTTCCCCTGTGCATCACGTCGGCCTGTGTCAAGAGAACACGAAAGCAGGACGGCTCTTCAACAAGAAGAACTGCGACTACCTGATGCAGCAGCTCGAGCACCGCCACACTTTGGGCTCTAAAGTCGTCCTGGCCAAGCTGTTGGAAGCAGAGTTCACCAGGTTAGTCCCAAAGTTTTTCCTGGTGGAGACCGCACCCGAGCTCGACAAGGGCGTGCAGGACTGCAGGAACCTTAAACCCTAGAACTCTGCAGCCTAAGCCTACACCGTAAACACTGACAGCCACGAATGCTTAAGTACCCTCGAAACCTAAAATTTCTGCAGGAGCTCAAAGTTGAGTATGATGAGTACAGTGCGGTGCAAGGCAAAGAGCCTGAGGCAGAAGGCGACTATGTGGTCCGCGGCGTGACTGGGTACTCAGGATAGCTTCGAGTTGTTGCGACGTTATGCAGTGTTTTGGCAGGTTATACAGGCTGCAGCAGGGTTATTTAAGGTTCCGGCCAAGTATCTGAATTTGTTTAAGGTACCGTACCAGGGAGAAACAGTGAATAGGATGATTTCCGTATTCTGGCACAGTTCAGATTAGGTTCCCTCGACCAACAGTATAACATACTGTAGAAGCCCGGTAGAACTTCAAACCTATGAAGCTTAACACATGCTCTTCAATAAGAACCAAGGTGATGAAGCTGGTGTCGCCACGGCAAGATGCTCAAATCGGATTGAAAAAGCAAGGCGCGATCCCGCCCCAAACCCTAAAGCACTCTAAACATTAGACCGCTAGATGCTAAATCTAAACTGCCCCACGCCAAAAAACCCTCCTGAACTGCCCGAAACTGCCCTTAACCCCCAACTCCAAACCCTCTAAATGCCCTAAACCCTAAGCCCTAAACCCTTAGAGGAACCCTTTAAGGAACCCTGTAAAAGGCGTCATCTCGCGACTCGGGGAGATTATCGCGCATGACGTCAGCTTCGAGCCTTGCGCAAACGTCTTCGACCAGCGGGTCGAGGTTGGGCGTCCGCAAAATTTGGGGCATGAGGGCTTTGGGCTTTTCGGATTTAGGCTTTAAGGGTTTAGGGTTTGAGGCTTTATTGCTTGAGGGTTTAAGATTTTTTTGGGGGATTTAGGGATTTTAGGGTCGGGGTTTGAAGGTAACTGGGCTTCCCCGAACGTGAGGTACTTGTTCAACATGCCTGACGTTGCTTCAGGTCTCCTTCTTAGGAGCTGCATTCCCGATGGTCCCTCGTTTTTAAGGTCCTTGATACCACTTGCTCATGTATAGCTCATCGTTGCAGTTTAGGCTTGCCGCTCCTTCGCAGCATGAGTAGCTCTGGGATGAGAGGATTCAATTTCCGCTTGTATTTGAAGGGTTTAGGAAACCCTACTTCACACCATAACCGCTAAAACCCTGAAACCCCAATTGCCGGGCCAAGGAGGGAGGGCTTCGATGACTTAGTTCTTGGATTCTTAGTGCTCAAAACCCAGGCTTGACGATTTAAGGTCTAGCTCCTTATAGGATAAAGGGTACTATAAACAACGTATACTCCAATAAGGGTTGCTGCAAGGGCTAATACTAGTCTAAGGGGTTACTTTCTGCGGGCCTTTGTTTTTTATACGCTGGTTGCTACTGTCGGGGCTTGGTGTAAGGGCGTGAATAATTAGATCAGGGTTTTGGTATATCATACTCTACTTGTATTCGATCCCTTGAAAATGGCGCGGCTTACATAACCCATAACCCTAAACCCTAGACCCTAAACCCTAAACACCCATATGATGGTAGGATACCGCTTTCGTGGCTCTGTGGACTTTGATCTTACAATTTGCAGGGCTCAGGTCTCTGTCTTTCTGTCTTTGTGTGGGCCCGAATCTGAAGCAAGGTAGAAACCAAACAGTAAAGCCCCTGTGCCATAATGCCACAACCCTAAACCCCAAACCCTAAACGGTAAAGCCCTGTACCACAAAAAGCCCCATACCCAAACTAGATCTGCGCGTCTTTTGGCGGAACTCCTTAGTCCTCAGAAAATAGGGGCCTCAATGGTTAGAGTAGGGTTTTGGGGAGTATTCTACTATAACTATATTAAGGACCGCCCAACAAGCCCTAACCCTAAACCTATAATATAGGCGCCTAGATAACTACCAATACTATTTCGTGGGTAGTATAATGGGCCCCAAAACCCTATTCTAATTATTAAGGCCCCTATATTAATACCTCTTGGTGCCCCCTGGCGCGATCCCTCCCTCTTCTGGCAGAAGCCCCAAAAATCCTAAGCCCTCAGGCCCCAAACCACAACCCTCAAGACGGTTCAGGGTTTAGGGCTTTAGGGTTCAGGGTTTAGGGCGTAGGGTTGAGGAGAAGCGATCAGGATGGCACGGAAAGGCTCATCCAGATAGAATGCCCTGGGGTGAGCGAAGAGGACATCGAATGGGAGGAGCCACTGGTTCTTTAGGGTTTTGGGGTCTGGGGGTTGGGTTGGGGCTTAGTGGGTTTACTCGATTTTCTGGGTTTTGTGGTTTTTTTTTTGTGGTTTAACAGGTTGCTGCATGGGTTTCTTTTTCGGAGAGTACTGAGTTTGATGCTTGACAGGGTTTTTGGTGGGTATTCAAAGGGTTCTACATGGATTCCATCTTCCGGATATTCCGGTTTTCGTGTTCAAGCTTAGAGCTTGGGTGATGTTGCTACAGGTACATGTGGCCTCGTGCTTGAGAAGTTCTATTGGCATTGAAGTGTTTGGGAAGGGCACGCCGAAGTTGTCAGCCTGTTTCCTGGGCCCCAGCCACAAGAAGCAGGTATTTGAGGTTGATATCCTTAACCCTAAACCCTAAACCCTAAACCCTAAACCCTAAACCCCGATATCTCGGGGTTTAGGGGGCTTTTGGGTCGATACCTCGGGATCCCATGCTGCGACCCCCTGATGTCTATTGGCAGGAGCTCAGCAATGGTGTGAAGGTCACCATCAAGAAAGAGAAGCGCATTGACGAAGCCGTTGTTCAGCCTGTGCAGCCCATCATGCAGAGTCTTGGCTAAACCCTAAACCCCAAACCCTAAACCCTGAACCTTAAACCCTAAACCCTGCACCCCTAAACCCTAAACCCTACGGGTTTAGGGTTAAGGGGTTCAGGGTTTAGGGTTCAGGGGTTTAAGGTTTAGGGCTGGGTTTGGGGGAACGCCAGAAAGCCCGATAAAACCTCATAGAGTCTCACGACTTCTATGAGACCATGCAAAGGCCGGGGAAGCCCCTTACTCTAAAATTGAGTTCTTCGAGCCCTTTCAGAATCCATAAGACTCATCTCGGGTCCTCGTCATTGCTTCTAGCGTAGTGCGGTCTAGAGCACCGTCGTTGTGCCCAACAGCCCTAATACTATGGTCCTTCGACCGGCAGGGACTTGCAACAACCTAAACCCTAAATCCTAAACCCTAAACTACACACTAAACCTGAAAGCCTGAAACTCCACACCTAAACCTAAAAACTTCAAACTAAACCTAAACCCGAAGCCCTTGAAAGGAACCATGGGACCTGGGTGCGCAACTTCGTCTTTGATCACAGCGATGGGCGCTTCGAACTGCGTGGTGCAGAGGCTCCTGTGGGCTAGAGTTTCTATGCTTTCATATCGTATGCTATACAGTGGGATGGTATAATATATATATATATATATGTATATATATATATATATGATCCCGGTTCGGCCGCCCCCTCCCTGTGGTGTGGTGTG